ACCCCCTTGCTCAGTAGGATATGCAAATTTAACAAATGAGAAAACCATCTAAATTTGGGGAGAAAATTTCTGTCTTATATTGTAGCACAAAAATCCTGACTAGTCAATAGAACATATATGCCAAGTTTTTCAAAAGGTTTTATGAGGATTCTTGAGGGGTATAATTTTATTTTATCTATTAAATACAGCTAGTTCAGAAAATTATATAAGGGAGTTGATGGATGTCTTGAGCAAATGTGTCTTTCATATAGGTATTAATGATGGTAAAACATTAACAAATCTCCCAGTGTATTTTTCTGCAAATAAAATAGCTTTAAAACAAACARACAAAAAATAGGTACTTAATCATGTAGAAGAAGACAATAAATAAAAGTTCATAAAGAGACAGGGAAGATAAAATTTGGTGACAGAGAGACTCTAAAATTATATTCAGAGAGATTTTCACCATAAAGCAGGAAGATGGTAAAATGTCAATTATAACCAAGTTCAAAAACTAACAATATACATATGTATCATGAGATAGGTACTGAATGGGAAATGAGAATGAAGACCAGTTTCATTCATAGTAGTCACTGAACTTGGCATATCTTCTTTCTTGCTAAATTAGGAAGGTTTTATTTATTTATTTTTATGTGGTCCTGAGGATCAAACCCAGTGCCTCACACATGCTAGGCAAATGCTCTCCCACTGAGCCACAAACCTAGCCCTAAATTAGGAAGGTTTTAAACCAGTATTTTCCCAACTAGCAATCTTAGTACTAAAATTCTCCAAAATTCCTGTAGAGAAGAATAAATTATCCTCTCTCCAAAAAGTGTGCCCCTCTTAAGGAGCCTCATTAGCATCTAAAGGCACTGAAAGGTCCCACAGCAAAGAAAACAGATCCCTTCTTCCAAATTTTTTGACCATGGAATCCAATTTTATGTAGCACCTGTTAAGATCTTCCAGGGACCTCTTTTTGTGAAATTTTCTCCTAGAAAATTAGATCAGGTCAATAGAAATAACAGATTTTTTGATGAGCTCAGTATGTTTGAAAATTGTCTAGCAAATATATCATGATGCCCATTTATGCTTCCATGGAAGCAGGTGAACTTGTTTCCTTCAATGACTCTTCCAAAAACAAAATTCTACCATACCAAAATAGTTAGAAGTAGATTGGGCATGTAGGTGCCTATTTAATTATTTTAAAATCTGAACTCATTCAGTCAATTACTTGTGAACTTGTACTGCTTAGGTAAAATGTATGTAAACATCTTAATTCATTTTTAATTATGCATATATTTTATTATACAAATATTGAGTGAATTATTTGCCTGAATGAATTATCTGCTTATGGTTTTTATTTTTCATTGACCTTCATGGTCTCTTGGTTTCTCCAAGTGTGTCTAACTGTACTACAAAGCTAAATTTGAATTATTTTTTATGCGATTCATTCTCTTTCTCCTTTCCATCGAGCATGGATAATCAAGAATTCATGGTATTATGGATTTTTAAATGTCAGATATTATAAAGCTGTCTTGCCTATTACAGTAAAAACTTCATTAAAGGCTATCATGTATTCAAAGTGGTGTGTAATTCAAAGCAGCTGCATATCCAATTCCTCCACATGTACTATTGTCCTTTAAATAAAAAACAACAGATAAAGTACTCTTAGTTTCAAGCCTCATTTCTAGGTGCTAGGCATTTCAAGGTAAGTATATTCTAATAAAATAATTATAGTTGCTTATCATTAAAAGATATGATGCTTTCCTTGGTCCATATATTATACAGACACAGCTCCTATTGTGTGATGATCCTTTTATCATATACTATTTTTCCAAATTCTTATATTTTCACCTTGCATTTCAGAAACATGTCAAAAATCTTGATTCTTCATTTTTAAAGTTTTTGCTTCTAGTAGAAAAGAATCTTTCTTTCCTCATTGAAGAAAAATATTCACTTGTGGGTCTGGGTTACTTCAATATCATTCTCTTTTATTCATGAAATATGTGTGATTTAAAAAATGACAATGCATAACCACTCAAATGTAGTCTTTTTGTACTTGTATGTCATAGATRGTGATAGTTTCCTAATAAGAACATATGTGCTTTAATTGGTTTTCCTAAAGAGGTTACTTTTATGAYCAAGAAAAATGAAATTAAGTTACTATGGGAATAAAGATAAAGTAAGTAATATAAATTATCTATCTTGAATGATCATGATAGAAAAAAAAAACATCATGTAAAAGCCAAGAACAAACTTAAATCAAGATTAAAACAGGCGAATTTCATATCCTTCTGTCCTCCTTCAAGATGATGTGTTTTATCAGGCCAAATGTCTCTGCCATCAATAATTTTGTAAATCAACTTTTACAAAGGGAAAGATAAAACCTCTCTTTATGTAAACTCTTACACGTCACAAAAAAGGCTTATAAGTGCTCCAAACTTACGGTTTTGGCACACCAGCTGCCTTGAGTTGAGGGAGGAGAACAGGGGTTAGCAGAAAGTGTATTTAGGATGGATGCCACCCACCATCAAGTAATGGTTTAAGTAGAAAGTAATCAGAGGGAGACCACAGCAGCTAAATTTCAACCAAAGATATTCTAGGTTTAGAACAATAAATAATTTTAATCAGGTATGTTCCAAAGAGCAAATAGGTCTCTAAGGCTATAACTCAGCCTGAATAAGCACTTGGAAAGTCTGCCGGATCAGCAGCCACTCCGTGTACACAGCACACCACCTGACTTTCCATTAAAATCTGGAACATCTTTGGTACAGAGAAGCCCATATGTTGTGAAACACTTTGAACTGAGAAACATATCTAATTTATTAATGCAGACAGCATCTTTCACCCACATCAGAACACAGGTCACAAGGTGAAGGGTGTCATGAAAACGCTGATATGGATGAAGCGAGAGGGACACACATGAAAACCTTAGCACTTTTCTGGAGTCCTGCCTCATTACAGCCAGGACTGCCTTATAATAAAGTCTTTTCAGTGTGTTAGTAACTAAACACTCTTGGAAGGGGTCCAACATGAACCACCTCTCAAGGAGTCTCCAACCAGGTAACATGACACTTAAGCTTCCACACAAACCAATGTCTACATTTGATGAATAAGTCATTAAGACAGTCTCTAGGATGCTAAAGGGATTACCTTTCTTATCAGGGCACACAGCCTTGTATATATGCTTCAAGCTTCAATTCATCATTTCAAGGGAATGTCTGGCCTCTGCATCAGAGTTTATCATTTGATGCTAGAAGACCACAGTGGGGCTGATAAGGGACACTAAAATTATAATGTGCAGAATGAATTGAAGCCCCAAAGTATACTGTGCCTGAGTTATTCAAATCCTTACACATAGTTCACCCAGTCTATAGCAACAATAACAACAACAAAACTATACAATGTGTGTGAATGAAACAAACTCAAATTCTACCTCCAAACTTGTGGTTTATACTAAAAATGAAACTTGTCAATACAAAAAAAATTATTGTTTGTCTCTCCAGTGCCTCAGTTATTCCCTGGGCTTATAACAAAGAAAACAAATATCAACATAAGAGTTACTTGAGTATCTGCAGTATTGCCTCCTGCCTTGCCCACCAGACTTCCTTCTAATCCTTGTTACTTCCACACTGCTCCTTCATTCAGCTCTGCCCCCAGAGATTCACTAAAGTAAACCCATCATTCACTGTCAAGACAGCTTCCTCAAGGATCTGGGGTGTTGTGGATAATGCAGGGCAGGTTTCTGTTTCCCTAGTGGAAGTGAGCCCCTTACAGGTCATGCTTATGGTTCTAAGAAGAAAGTAAAACCTGGTTCAGTTCAGCCTCTAGCTAAAGACTTCTGCATTATAAAGCATAATTCACATTTATTGTAAATGTCATCATGCCTTTGAGCTCTAGAGTTTATTCACAGTTTCAACCTTGGACTTTCCTTGATGGATGTGTTAGTTTTTCCTTTTTTTTTTTTTTTTTTTCCAGGAGTCCTACATATCAAAGTTGGGGGAAATGTCTCAGAGCACTGAGGCATAGTTTCCTTTCTTGAAGATTCTTTGATGCTTCACTAAAGAAGGCTTTGCATTCACGTTTTCTTTATCATGAATGTAAGGAAGGAAAAATCCTAGTGCATCCTCAAAGCATATAAATAGGGTTTGGAAACTTTCCCTCAAGCCATTAGCACAAGAGGAGAAGACTGTTAGCATCTAAGTTATTCACTTCACCACAGGGGCTAAGGGAAGAAACCTTGTTAAGCCATGAATTTCAGTCTGCAGTGATCTGCGTTGAAAAATGGGATGAGCAGATTCTCGTGGGCAGATTCCAAGAGATGTTTAGGATCCGCAGCTGCTCCACCCCCAGCCCCCAACTCCTCCCAGGGTGGATGGTACAACTCCTATTTGCCCAGATGGGTTTTAAGTAATGTATACACTCAAGCACCTGGTTTTATTTGGGTGTTTGCCACGTAGGGACTATCAAGTAGAAAGTGTCAAATATAGTAACACAGAGGGCGTGAGGAGTTAAGAGCCGGTGGGTGCAAGATCTGGAGAAGCGAAAACCTAAAAGGCGAGGGGAAGGCATCTAGTTCAAGTGCGCTTTACTCTCTGGAGCCCTTTGGGCTGGCATAAAATGGCATCTGCTTCAGGGTAAACACAGGTCGAGCCTAGCCCAAGGGAATTTCCGCTGACCAATTTAGGAATCATTGGGATAAGGTCCCCTAGAAGTACTCCAGGCACCCTGAGCAGGAGGGCTAARCTGAGCATAAAATGTCGCCCCCAACCCTCTCTATTGCTCTGAGCTCTTCTCTGGACTCCCACTCACTTGGGATTATAAAACTGGGCTTATCTGGATCGCAGCTGGAGAAATGCAGAGTGTGACAGGGCAAGGGACACAGAGGGCAGCTACGAAGGGCGGGGAAAGGTCCCTAGGTAGCACTAGGGAGACAAGGGCTGACAAGGAGCTGTGGGGGGTCCTGGGAGAAAGCCAAAGAGCGAGTGACAGCAGGAAGGGGGCTCCCCTTGAGCACTCACCTGCTGCTCCCGCACGAAAGCTGCGAACTGTGTTGCCTTCGCGCAAGGGCTGAGGGCGCCGGGGCTGCGAGCTTCGTTGTCGGGAGCTTGGCATCCGTGCTGCCTCCACTCTGCCACTGTCGCTGTACCTGTCATAGAGCCGCAGCATATGCTCCGACACCTTGTCAAGAGGCTGCAGCTCTGGGCCAGGGCCACCACCTGCCGTGCGGTCTCCTGGCATAGCTTGGTGGAGCTCAGGCAAATGTTGTTTCGGTCTCTCTCCCTGCACTAGGCTCACGCCGAAGAAGCCCAGCCACAGATAGAGCAGGATGCGCGCCCCAGCCATGGCGAGGTCCGGGTGCCGCGCGTCCGCTCGGTGTATCGCACGGGAACACTCCCAAGGCGCGAGGGGCCGGCGACAAGGCTTGAACTTCTAAGCCGCTGCGGTAAGGGCACTGGGAGCCCAGGGCAGAGCTGGAACCGGACAGCGACAAGCCCCACTTTCTGCGCTGATTGAGCGCGAACCCGCAGGTGGGCTCTTCTGGGGCAGCGATGCGGATCTCACCCGCGAAGGGCGCTGCAGGCGTTGTCTCCAATCCAACGCTGGGGAAGAGCTGTAGGTCGCCGCGTGTGTGGCCCGAGTGTTTTCAGGAGCTGTCTCTACCCTCCCTCCCCACTTTATTTTCGGGAACACCCTGCCGAAGCGGCTGCGCTGGGGACGCGGGTTAGAGCTGCCTTCAGCGCGTGCCGGAGCTGGGGTGAGAGCAGGGTTCTGGAGGGCGCTCACTAGCTCGCCTTTTCCAGGGACTGGAGGAGCCGCGGAACCGCCAGTCTGAGTTTTGAGTGTAAGTGCGTGGGGGGTGTGTGTGTGTGTGTGTGTGTGTGTGTGTGTGTGTGAGAGAGAGAGAGAGAGAGAGAGAGAGAGAGAGAGAGAGAGAGAGAGAGAGAGAGAGAGAGAGACTGACTCTTGACTCTCTAACTTCGCTCCTTCTTCCTCTGACTGATCTGTTCAGTTCGCTGCCAATTTCGCCCTCTCCTTAGCCCTAGTAGGCACTCGGACCTGGCAGTAGCCAGGAGAGAAGTGAGGAGGGAAGTAACCAGTGAACCAGCAGGGGGAGGGAGAGAAGAGGAAGTAGGGTGGGGGTGCCTAGGGAGAGGAGGGAGAAGGTAGAGGAAGCAAAAGTAGGAGGGACTTTTTTTTTTTTTTTTTTAATCTCTTGGAGAACAGTGGCCACATTCCCGCTAGCAAGAAGGCAGAGGAAAATAAAAGAGTTTCTTCCTGGGTTTTTAATCTTCTGACTCCAAACAAAATCGCGATGTGAATTCTATTCTCATTTCCTTTCCTGGGCTTCCTGTGTCTGAAGCTATGGACCCTGCACCTGTGCCTCTTGGCCATAGCTACCTGTCATCCTGAGAGCTTCTCATCATAGCTCCCCTCTCCCGCTGCAAAAAAAAAAAAAAAAAAAAATCAGTGAGAGCCTATTTCATGCTACAAACATGCTAATTCACCCACCCTCACTCCCCTATACTCCCTGGAGAGGTTTCCCTGCAGAATTGGGCGGTGGTGGTGACACTCAGGGCTTCTGGAAGATCCCAGAGTGCAAGCAGGTTCCTGGAGTTGCTAGCTTTGATATCCTTGCTAATTGTCTATTTTTCTGGGCTATAAATGGAGATTAAACTACTACCCAGCGTTTTACCCCACATGAATCATAACCTAGGCGCTTTTTTWAAAAAATGTTCCATGTGTACTATTTTCAAAGAATTTTCATGACAAACCCCGTTTTACAGACTAAAAAACTAAGGCAAAATGATACACAGTGTAGCATAGATGAGCTCTAAAATCAGGGAGTCTGACTTCTGGGCTCAGACCCTTAGTCAYCACAGTATCAATAATGAAACTAGCATTTAAATTAAAGTTTAAAAGTACAACTGGTGGATATTATGTTCTTGTCCCTGTTCCTGGCTAATGAAGTAAACTCTCCATGTCTCTTGCAACTCCCTGCTCCCTCTGTGGGGCCTTGAATTTTATTGAAAAGAAGATAGGCTCAAGGGTTACCTTGAGCTTCCAGAATCTCTGTTTCTTCTTTAATGGTGAATAACAGCACATTCCTTTCAGAGTTTTGTTTGGATGACATTAGAAAGCAATGTTAAAGTGACTGGCACACTAACTAGCCTTTACTAGGGGCTCAATCCCTTTTTATCCCAAATTTATCCCAAATGCAGACTATATTCTCCCCACTCAGTCACTTCTCATCCCCCTGTGGTTTGGATTTTGCCCTTAGCCACCCCAGGAACTGTTCTGCAGATAATAACACATGCTTCAAGTGTGTTTGAGAGGATTCAATGGGATCATGTGGGTGATCTTTKCCTGGCATAGAGAACATAATAGCTTTTGTGATTAATAATGAAGACCTAATTGCGAAATTCAATAGGCCCTGGAAACTCACTCCCTCTTTGATTTTTCCCTGTGAATCTTTGGTTGTGTTCCCTCCCCTTTCTGCTCTCTCAATTCTGTGAGCTGCCTTCCCTAATGTTTCTCACATCTTTATACTCTGCCCTGGGAGAATGACAAATCGAGAAGATTCTTCTCTGCTCCTGCTGTTGAGGTGGTCACCTCTGACCTTTCAATATGTAATTCTGGGTCTCCCACAGCCCTAACCATCCTTGTCAAAAATTCATCCTATTCCCCTTGAAAGTGTCCCTGAGACTTGCCTCCCTTAAACTCCTGTGTATATTTATTTTGCGACATTTGTCACTCTGTTCTCAACATAATTCTTTGTTTGTAGGAAGCTGTGTTGTGGGGCTGCAGACAACTGTGCATCCTGAGTGCCCACCTTCATCTCTTGTAGTTCTGTATAGTCCTTTCTCAGTACCTTTACTTTCTCATTAGCACAGTGCCTCCAGCATTGCAAAGACTTAAAGAGAGATAGTGGAGACCTGAGAGAATTGTGTGTCAGTTTTTTTTTTTCTAAAGCAAACATCAATTTTAGTGACCAGACATTACATTCAGAATAAGCAAAGTAATGAGGTGATGTTAAGCATGTAGAATAATCTCTAGCAGAACTCTCAGCT